CTCCCTAGTCGTGACCACAAAGGAATCTGTTTGAATAATATAACACCTAATATATTTTCCCCAATAACCAGGGCTCGTGAAGAGAGAAATCGGGACAGTCAGACTCGGTTCAAACCTAGACGTGAACGTAACAACCAAATACCCACCCTTTGTCAAGTCCTGGAACATAAACATACTTCCCGACATCCGACTACAGTGTATTTCTTAACCTTAGACTTTAAGGCAGTTTTCGACCCTGTCGAATGTGAGGTTCTGTGGTAGTGTTTGTCATTAAAAAGCATACCAAACAAGTACATCAAATTTGTAGAGGTTCTTCACTTCAACACTATTGGTCAAGTTAAAGTTTATCGAGAACTGTCAACCTCAAGTAGTGTTCCTCAGGATTGTGCAGTTTCTCCACTCTTATTTAACTTCGTCATCGATATCCTTTTAAAAATAATACTCTCATAGTCTGACTTTTCAGAGGTCGGTCTTCTACCAGAAGATTCGCTTATTGATTTAGAATACCCAAGTGATATCGTGCTGTTTGGTAAAGACGCTGAAAAGATATTGAGACCACTGTTGCCTTAAGCAATAATGCGAGCATGTTTAAGACGCAATTCTCTCCCTATAAATCAAAATTGTTAATTCAAAACTGGGCTGCGTCAACCTCTGCATTAATGATAGGGAGTGAAGTAGTTGAGCATGTCGATCACTTATAATTTATCTTGGACGTCTCATCAGTCCTGATGAATAGGTATTTGATGAAACCACGACACGGAATCAAAAAGTTCGGTCGGCTTTTGTGTCACTCATGAAGTGGGTGAGATATTAGTCTGTCAATCAAAGGACGAGTCTACTAATCAACAATTCGCTTGGTTCTACTCTATGGGTGTCAAACATAGCCAATAAGAACAGAAAATGTTCTCAGGTCACTATTATTCGATCATAGGTGAACCGATACACAGATCATACATTTTTGTCTGCCGAGTGAGCAATGCTGAAGTTACGCATAGGATACTAAGTACAGATTGCCAAATCGATTGATCAGGAAGTGAATATTCATCGGCTGAGGTGGTTCGTATATGTCTCGCCTATGTCCAATCACCGCCTAAATCAACGAGCGATATTGTCCAGTGTACAAGTAGACCGAGAGAAAGCTAGGTGAGGCCAAGAGAAGCCATGTCACTAGCCCATGAAGCCATTGATAATTAGACTGATTCATATTAATCACTGTAGAATACCTATGTGTGGTCGCGTAATTATCGTAACCAATTGCAAGAGACTATGGATAACAAGCCTGAGAATGGTTCGCAATACCCCAGACACATTCACTCACTACCTTCCCTCAAAACATCATTGATGAATTAACACTTTCAATACCCAATCGCCTTTACAAATACAAAAAATGTTACTAAATCTACAACTCAACAATTTGTAGAAAAAAATATTAGTATCTAACACCAAATACCCAAAATCATATACTGCAAAAAAACGCAAACGCACGTCAAACATCAATAAACAAACAACCAAAATAACAGATAAACAAATACATACCTTCTGGCATCGCAACATCATCTTCATAACGGTAAGGGATCGGTGACAATGCCTGGAGAGAGGACACTGGTAGCTTCAACATCACCATACCATCACTCGAAGCATGTTTCGCTCCATCTGAAGCAACAACTACAAAACCAACAATCAAACACAGTAAGCATAAACAACACGATACATGGTGATAATATCACTGAAAGACGCATATACATATACATTTCTTTGTTCATCCATATATATATATATATATATATATATATATGCACATGCATACATACACACACCTATGTGCTCACATGATAACCTCCATTTTCAACCTGAAATCAATCACACTCTCTAACACACAAACACACGTCGGACATCGATAAACAAACAACCACAACGACTGAAAAAAACACATACCGCCTGGAATCGCAACATCATCTTCACAACGGTAAGGGATCGGTGATAATCCTTGGAGAGAGGATACCGGTGGCTCCAACGTCTCGCTATTATCTCTCGAAACATTCTTCTCTTCATCTAAAACAACACCTACAAAGTTAACAATAAAACACAGTTAGCAAAAATAAGGACATCAAAACAGTAACTGCTAAATGGATATGGTGGTTAGGCTTGCATATCGTGGTCACTTAATCGATTTATATGGGCTGTAATACTTGTTCGTTTAGGTATTATCATAACATGCAGGTCGGTTTGGAGAACGGTCAGTGTGAAATTAGTAACCTCAGGTGTGAAGGAGAAGTCATACTGCTAATTGTACAGTCGTGTGATAACAGTAAAGTGTTTTCTTCAGAAAACCAGCATCTACGGCAATGATGCCTTCTCACAACGAAGGGAAGAAATTAGGAAATATCGACTCTGAAATGATTTTACAACTTACACCACGGATTTACGTCTTCAGTGCCAAGGCCTTTGGAAGTAGGGAGCTAGGAGATCATAAACCTCTCATAAAAGGGTCATGTTTTACCGACCTCAAACTATTGTCCCTTAGCCTCCGTCACCACACTCCCACGTCTTCATGGCCAACAGGCTGCTCCAACTATGCTCACATAACCGTTCATTTCTAGCAAACATCAACTCCAATCATAAGGGAAGACATTGTCTGACACTGCGACACCCACAACCGAATGACTTATCAAGCGAACAGGTTTTAATAATCCGCCTGTTAGTGAGACTATCTCAGGACTATTATTCACTCTCAACCCATGAGATTAGACCGATATGCCGAATATTTTAGGCAACAGTTCAACTGACCTCCTGCTACCCTTCAGTTACCCACTATCGCCAAACAGCCTGAAAGGAAAATCGACATCAGCCCTCAAACTCTTAGTGAGGTTGAAAAATCTATAACTAATCTAAAGTGACACAGAGCAGCAGGTTCAAATGGGTTAGCTCTGGAGATCTCTAAAGATAGTAGTCTAGTTTATCAGTCAGATCGACTGAGATCATAATTAGAATATGGGAATTAGACATAATCCCATCTGACTGGTCTCGATCGTTGATTGTCCCAGTTTATAAGAAAGCACAGAAATCTCCCTAGTCGTGACCACAAAGGAATCTGTTTGAATAATATAACACCTAATATATTTTCCCCAATAACCAGGGCTCGTGAAGAGAGAAATCGGGACAGTCAGACTCGGTTCAAACCTAGACGTGAACGTAACAACCAAATACCCACCCTTTGTCAAGTCCTGGAACATAAACATACTTCCCGACATCCGACTACAGTGTATTTCTTAACCTTAGACTTTAAGGCAGTTTTCGACCCTGTCGAATGTGAGGTTCTGTGGTAGTGTTTGTCATTAAAAAGCATACCAAACAAGTACATCAAATTTGTAGAGGTTCTTCACTTCAACACTATTGGTCAAGTTAAAGTTTATCGAGAACTGTCAACTTCAAGTAGTGTTCCTCAGGATTGTGCAGTTTCTCCACTCTTATTTAACTTCGTCATCGATATCCTTTTAAAAATAATACTCTCATAGTCTGACTTTTCAGAGGTCGGTCTTCTACCAGAAGATTCGCTTATTGATTTAGAATACCCAAGTGATATCGTGCTGTTTGGTAAAGACGCTGAAAAGATATTGAGACCACTGTTGCCTTAAGCAATAATGCGAGCATGTTTAAGACGCGATTCTCTCCCTATAAATCAAAATTGTTAATTCAAAACTGGGCTGCGTCAACCTCTGCATTAATGATAGGGAGTGAAGTAGTTGAGCATGTCGATCACTTATAATTTATCTTGGACGTCTCATCAGTCCTGATGAATAGGTATTTGATGAAACCACGACACGGAATCAAAAAGTTCGGTCGGCTTTTGTGTCACTCATGAAGTGGGTGAGATATTAGTCTGTCAATCAAAGGACGAGTCTACTAATCAACAATTCGCTTGGTTCTACTCTATGGGTGTCAAACATAGCCAATAAGAACAGAAAATGTTCTCAGGTCACTATTATTCGATCATAGGTGAACCGATACACAGATCATACATTTTTGTCTGCCGAGTGAGCAATGCTGAAGTTACGCATAGGATACTAAGTACAGATTGCCAAATCGATTGATCAGGAAGTGAATATTCATCGGCTGAGGTGGTTCGTATATGTCTCGCCTATGTCCAATCACCGCCTAAATCAACGAGCGATATTGTCCAGTGTACAAGTAGACCGAGAGAAAGCTAGGTGAGGCCAAGAGAAGCCATGTCACTAGCCCATGAAGCCATTGATAATTAGACTGATTCATATTAATCACTGTAGAATACCTATGTGTGGTCGCGTAATTATCGTAACCAATTGCAAGAGACTATGGATAACAAGCCTGAGAATGGTTCGCAATACCCCAGACACATTCACTCACTACCTTCCCTCAAAACATCATTGATGAATTAACACTTTCAATACCCAATCGCCTTTACAAATACAAAAAATGTTACTAAATCTACAACTCAACAATTTGTAGAAAAAAATATTAGTATCTAACACCAAATACCCAAAATCATATACTGCAAAAAAACGCAAACGCACGTCAAACATCAATAAACAAACAACCAAAATAACAGATAAACAAATACATACCTTCTGGCATCGCAACATCATCTTCATAACGGTAAGGGATCGGTGACAATGCCTGGAGAGAGGACACTGGTAGCTTCAACATCACCATACCATCACTCGAAGCATGTTTCGCTCCATCTGAAGCAACAACTACAAAACCAACAATCAAACACAGTAAGCATAAACAACACGATACATGGTGATAATATCACTGAAAGACGCATATACATATACATTTCTTTGTTCATCCATATATATATATATATATATATATATATATGCACATGCATACATACACACACCTATGTGCTCACATGATAACCTCCATTTTCAACCTGAAATCAATCACACTCTCTAACACACAAACACACGTCGGACATCGATAAACAAACAACCACAACGACTGAAAAAAACACATACCGCCTGGAATCGCAACATCATCTTCACAACGGTAAGGGATCGGTGATAATCCTTGGAGAGAGGATACCGGTGGCTCCAACGTCTCGCTATTATCTCTCGAAACATTCTTCTCTTCATCTAAAACAACACCTACAAAGTTAACAATAAAACACAGTTAGCAAAAATAAGGACATCAAAACAGTAACTGCTAAATGGATATGGTGGTTAGGCTTGCATATCGTGGTCACTTAATCGATTTATATGGGCTGTAATACTTGTTCGTTTAGGTATTATCATAACATGCAGGTCGGTTTGGAGAACGGTCAGTGTGAAATTAGTAACCTCAGGTGTGAAGGAGAAGTCATACTGCTAATTGTACAGTCGTGTGATAACAGTAAAGTGTTTTCTTCAGAAAACCAGCATCTACGGCAATGATGCCTTCTCACAACGAAGGGAAGAAATTAGGAAATATCGACTCTGAAATGATTTTACAACTTACACCACGGATTTACGTCTTCAGTGCCAAGGCCTTTGGAAGTAGGGAGCTAGGAGATCATAAACCTCTCATAAAAGGGTCATGTTTTACCGACCTCAAACTATTGTCCCTTAGCCTCCGTCACCACACTCCCACGTCTTCATGGCCAACAGGCTGCTCCAACTATGCTCACATAACCGTTCATTTCTAGCAAACATCAACTCCAATCATAAGGGAAGACATTGTCTGACACTGCGACACCCACAACCGAATGACTTATCAAGCGAACAGGTTTTAATAATCCGCCTGTTAGTGAGACTATCTCAGGACTATTATTCACTCTCAACCCATGAGATTAGACCGATATGCCGAATATTTTAGGCAACAGTTCAACTGACCTCCTGCTACCCTTCAGTTACCCACTATCGCCAAACAGCCTGAAAGGAAAATCGACATCAGCCCTCAAACTCTTAGTGAGGTTGAAAAATCTATAACTAATCTAAAGTGACACAGAGCAGCAGGTTCAAATGGGTTAGCTCTGGAGATCTCTAAAGATAGTAGTCTAGTTTATCAGTCAGATCGACTGAGATCATAATTAGAATATGGGAATTAGACATAATCCCATCTGACTGGTCTCGATCGTTGATTGTCCCAGTTTATAAGAAAGCACAGAAATCTCCCTAGTCGTGACCACAAAGGAATCTGTTTGAATAATATAACACCTAATATATTTTCCCCAATAACCAGGGCTCGTGAAGAGAGAAATCGGGACAGTCAGACTCGGTTCAAACCTAGACGTGAACGTAACAACCAAATACCCACCCTTTGTCAAGTCCTGGAACATAAACATACTTCCCGACATCCGACTACAGTGTATTTCTTAACCTTAGACTTTAAGGCAGTTTTCGACCCTGTCGAATGTGAGGTTCTGTGGTAGTGTTTGTCATTAAAAAGCATACCAAACAAGTACATCAAATTTGTAGAGGTTCTTCACTTCAACACTATTGGTCAAGTTAAAGTTTATCGAGAACTGTCAACTTCAAGTAGTGTTCCTCAGGATTGTGCAGTTTCTCCACTCTTATTTAACTTCGTCATCGATATCCTTTTAAAAATAATACTCTCATAGTCTGACTTTTCAGAGGTCGGTCTTCTACCAGAAGATTCGCTTATTGATTTAGAATACCCAAGTGATATCGTGCTGTTTGGTAAAGACGCTGAAAAGATATTGAGACCACTGTTGCCTTAAGCAATAATGCGAGCATGTTTAAGACGCGATTCTCTCCCTATAAATCAAAATTGTTAATTCAAAACTGGGCTGCGTCAACCTCTGCATTAATGATAGGGAGTGAAGTAGTTGAGCATGTCGATCACTTATAATTTATCTTGGACGTCTCATCAGTCCTGATGAATAGGTATTTGATGAAACCACGACACGGAATCAAAAAGTTCGGTCGGCTTTTGTGTCACTCATGAAGTGGGTGAGATATTAGTCTGTCAATCAAAGGACGAGTCTACTAATCAACAATTCGCTTGGTTCTACTCTATGGGTGTCAAACATAGCCAATAAGAACAGAAAATGTTCTCAGGTCACTATTATTCGATCATAGGTGAACCGATACACAGATCATACATTTTTGTCTGCCGAGTGAGCAATGCTGAAGTTACGCATAGGATACTAAGTACAGATTGCCAAATCGATTGATCAGGAAGTGAATATTCATCGGCTGAGGTGGTTCGTATATGTCTCGCCTATGTCCAATCACCGCCTAAATCAACGAGCGATATTGTCCAGTGTACAAGTAGACCGAGAGAAAGCTAGGTGAGGCCAAGAGAAGCCATGTCACTAGCCCATGAAGCCATTGATAATTAGACTGATTCATATTAATCACTGTAGAATACCTATGTGTGGTCGCGTAATTATCGTAACCAATTGCAAGAGACTATGGATAACAAGCCTGAGAATGGTTCGCAATACCCCAGACACATTCACTCACTACCTTCCCTCAAAACATCATTGATGAATTAACACTTTCAATACCCAATCGCCTTTACAAATACAAAAAATGTTACTAAATCTACAACTCAACAATTTGTAGAAAAAAATATTAGTATCTAACACCAAATACCCAAAATCATATACTGCAAAAAAACGCAAACGCACGTCAAACATCAATAAACAAACAACCAAAATAACAGATAAACAAATACATACCTTCTGGCATCGCAACATCATCTTCATAACGGTAAGGGATCGGTGACAATGCCTGGAGAGAGGACACTGGTAGCTTCAACATCACCATACCATCACTCGAAGCATGTTTCGCTCCATCTGAAGCAACAACTACAAAACCAACAATCAAACACAGTAAGCATAAACAACACGATACATGGTGATAATATCACTGAAAGACGCATATACATATACATTTCTTTGTTCATCCATATATATATACATATATGCACATGCATACATACACACACCTATGTGCTCACATGATAACCTCCATTTTCAACCTGAAATCAATCACACTCTCTAACACACAAACACACGTCGGACATCGATAAACAAACAACCACAACGACTGAAAAAAACACATACCGCCTGGAATCGCAACATCATCTTCACAACGGTAAGGGATCGGTGATAATCCTTGGAGAGAGGATACCGGTGGCTCCAACGTCTCGCTATTATCTCTCGAAACATTCTTCTCTTCATCTAAAACAACACCTACAAAGTTAACAATAAAACACAGTTAGCAAAAATAAGGACATCAAAACAGTAACTGCTAAATGGATATGGTGGTTAGGCTTGCATATCGTGGTCACTTAATCGATTTATATGGGCTGTAATACTTGTTCGTTTAGGTATTATCATAACATGCAGGTCGGTTTGGAGAACGGTCAGTGTGAAATTAGTAACCTCAGGTGTGAAGGAGAAGTCATACTGCTAATTGTACAGTCGTGTGATAACAGTAAAGTGTTTTCTTCAGAAAACCAGCATCTACGGCAATGATGCCTTCTCACAACGAAGGGAAGAAATTAGGAAATATCGACTCTGAAATGATTTTACAACTTACACCACGGATTTACGTCTTCAGTGCCAAGGCCTTTGGAAGTAGGGAGCTAGGAGATCATAAACCTCTCATAAAAGGGTCATGTTTTACCGACCTCAAACTATTGTCCCTTAGCCTCCGTCACCACACTCCCACGTCTTCATGGCCAACAGGCTGCTCCAACTATGCTCACATAACCGTTCATTTCTAGCAAACATCAACTCCAATCATAAGGGAAGACATTGTCTGACACTGCGACACCCACAACCGAATGACTTATCAAGCGAACAGGTTTTAATAATCCGCCTGTTAGTGAGACTATCTCAGGACTATTATTCACTCTCAACCCATGAGATTAGACCGATATGCCGAATATTTTAGGCAACAGTTCAACTGACCTCCTGCTACCCTTCAGTTACCCACTATCGCCAAACAGCCTGAAAGGAAAATCGACATCAGCCCTCAAACTCTTAGTGAGGTTGAAAAATCTATAACTAATCTAAAGTGACACAGAGCAGCAGGTTCAAATGGGTTAGCTCTGGAGATCTCTAAAGATAGTAGTCTAGTTTATCAGTCAGATCGACTGAGATCATAATTAGAATATGGGAATTAGACATAATCCCATCTGACTGGTCTCGATCGTTGATTGTCCCAGTTTATAAGAAAGCACAGAAATCTCCCTAGTCGTGACCACAAAGGAATCTGTTTGAATAATATAACACCTAATATATTTTCCCCAATAACCAGGGCTCGTGAAGAGAGAAATCGGGACAGTCAGACTCGGTTCAAACCTAGACGTGAACGTAACAACCAAATACCCACCCTTTGTCAAGTCCTGGAACATAAACATACTTCCCGACATCCGACTACAGTGTATTTCTTAACCTTAGACTTTAAGGCAGTTTTCGACCCTGTCGAATGTGAGGTTCTGTGGTAGTGTTTGTCATTAAAAAGCATACCAAACAAGTACATCAAATTTGTAGAGGTTCTTCACTTCAACACTATTGGTCAAGTTAAAGTTTATCGAGAACTGTCAACTTCAAGTAGTGTTCCTCAGGATTGTGCAGTTTCTCCACTCTTATTTAACTTCGTCATCGATATCCTTTTAAAAATAATACTCTCATAGTCTGACTTTTCAGAGGTCGGTCTTCTACCAGAAGATTCGCTTATTGATTTAGAATACCCAAGTGATATCGTGCTGTTTGGTAAAGACGCTGAAAAGATATTGAGACCACTGTTGCCTTAAGCAATAATGCGAGCATGTTTAAGACGCGATTCTCTCCCTATAAATCAAAATTGTTAATTCAAAACTGGGCTGCGTCAACCTCTGCATTAATGATAGGGAGTGAAGTAGTTGAGCATGTCGATCACTTATAATTTATCTTGGACGTCTCATCAGTCCTGATGAATAGGTATTTGATGAAACCACGACACGGAATCAAAAAGTTCGGTCGGCTTTTGTGTCACTCATGAAGTGGGTGAGATATTAGTCTGTCAATCAAAGGACGAGTCTACTAATCAACAATTCGCTTGGTTCTACTCTATGGGTGTCAAACATAGCCAATAAGAACAGAAAATGTTCTCAGGTCACTATTATTCGATCATAGGTGAACCGATACACAGATCATACATTTTTGTCTGCCGAGTGAGCAATGCTGAAGTTACGCATAGGATACTAAGTACAGATTGCCAAATCGATTGATCAGGAAGTGAATATTCATCGGCTGAGGTGGTTCGTATATGTCTCGCCTATGTCCAATCACCGCCTAAATCAACGAGCGATATTGTCCAGTGTACAAGTAGACCGAGAGAAAGCTAGGTGAGGCCAAGAGAAGCCATGTCACTAGCCCATGAAGCCATTGATAATTAGACTGATTCATATTAATCACTGTAGAATACCTATGTGTGGTCGCGTAATTATCGTAACCAATTGCAAGAGACTATGGATAACAAGCCTGAGAATGGTTCGCAATACCCCAGACACATTCACTCACTACCTTCCCTCAAAACATCATTGATGAATTAACACTTTCAATACCCAATCGCCTTTACAAATACAAAAAATGTTACTAAATCTACAACTCAACAATTTGTAGAAAAAAATATTAGTATCTAACACCAAATACCCAAAATCATATACTGCAAAAAAACGCAAACGCACGTCAAACATCAATAAACAAACAACCAAAATAACAGATAAACAAATACATACCTTCTGGCATCGCAACATCATCTTCATAACGGTAAGGGATCGGTGACAATGCCTGGAGAGAGGACACTGGTAGCTTCAACATCACCATACCATCACTCGAAGCATGTTTCGCTCCATCTGAAGCAACAACTACAAAACCAACAATCAAACACAGTAAGCATAAACAACACGATACATGGTGATAATATCACTGAAAGACGCATATACATATACATTTCTTTGTTCATCCATATATATATATATATATATATATATATGCACATGCATACATACACACACCTATGTGCTCACATGATAACCTCCATTTTCAACCTGAAATCAATCACACTCTCTAACACACAAACACACGTCGGACATCGATAAACAAACAACCACAACGACTGAAAAAAACACATACCGCCTGGAATCGCAACATCATCTTCACAACGGTAAGGGATCGGTGATAATCCTTGGAGAGAGGATACCGGTGGCTCCAACGTCTCGCTATTATCTCTCGAAACATTCTTCTCTTCATCTAAAACAACACCTACAAAGTTAACAATAAAACACAGTTAGCAAAAATAAGGACATCAAAACAGTAACTGCTAAATGGATATGGTGGTTAGGCTTGCATATCGTGGTCACTTAATCGATTTATATGGGCTGTAATACTTGTTCGTTTAGGTATTATCATAACATGCAGGTCGGTTTGGAGAACGGTCAGTGTGAAATTAGTAACCTCAGTTCTGATGGAGATGTCAAAATTATCTAACGTTGTGAAGTGTTTTTTTTGTGTTTGTTGATATCGAAACGTCGGTTCATGGATGTTTTTTACAATACTGGCATTCCATGTTGGTTGTTAGTTTATTTATTTGTATTGGGTGACTACTTTACTGGGGAGATTTTACGTCGTCTCGAATGTACGGTAAATTTTGCTAAAATGTTACTTTGTGGTTACAGAATGCTGTTCGAATTTTTTCATTTAATTGTAGCAGCTATGTATCGTCAACGTCTTTCGACTTTTTGTCTGTTCAATTTCTTACTGTACGAAACTATGTAAAGGAAACGGAACTACTCCGTTTTTGTTCCACAATCATTGATGATAGTAGTTTCTTGTATGAAGGATTTTCTCTGCCTTTTAATTAACGTAGCACGCTGCTTACAGTAAATATTTAACGTACGTCTGAGTGTTGTATTATGAGTGTTTGTGTGCTTACCTTAAAATCAATATTTTACTTCTTTTAAATCTTTCAAAAATATTTATTAAGTTCTGCATTTTTTGAACTTTGACTCTTGAGTTTAGAAGACTTTCATAGCAACCATTGGAAATTTTCGAGATTTAATGACATGATACTTTTAAAGATTTCTGAAATATTTAAAAATGTGACTTTTTACTAATTTTTAATCACTTACTATTTTTTCGACGCTTCTTCACTAATTGCCCGGAATCAACAATATCATCTTCTTCTGATTCAAGGAAACAATCTGTGATGACTATGCTAACTGGTTTGATTAAGGGTAAAACAGAATCCACAGTCTCCGGATACAATTTACTATCACTTGAAGCACGAGAATATGTCAGTTGACTTAGCTGGAAAGTATTAATCAATATTTTAATAATCAAAAATATTAAATGACGGACAGCTTGTTTTATTGCTAGCAGCATAAACTATGTCATTCTTCGTGGAGTAGTAACGTCCATAAGTAGAAAATCATATGCGTTTCTACAAATACCAAGGCTAAAACGTTTACTTCTATTCTAGACAAAATTGGTATTAGTTGGGAAACCACTAAAAACTAGGAAGCACTAGACGGATGTGTTAATTTAGTACAAGACTCCTTATCAGAGCCCATAACACGACCCCAACGAAGAAAGATAGCTGTCAATATCGCGTATTGACGAGTAAATAAATGGATGATGGTCAAAGAGACCTGAAGGTCCAAAGCTCGATTCCCGGAGGAGGGTCGTGGATGTTTTTCTTCTGTTATACACCAGATTATTAATTACCTAAAACCACTTTTATTTTACATTGATCAATTCTCTTTTCTTTTTCTACTTTAATTCAATTGACTCTTTTTGTCTAGATTGCGCTTTAATCAAATTTTCATGTTCAATTTATCTTATCATCTCATGTAACTAACTTTTCTAACTATCAGTTTTGTTAGATATTTTAATCAGAATTTTGTCTTAGTCTTTGGTTAAAAATAAGTATTTTTACAACTTTGAGAATGAATTCATGAAAAGTTATTTCACACAAATCTCTTCGTTAAATCATTGCCTACTGTATCAAGATTCTAAACAATAAAAAATAACAAGTATCACAGGGTAACTAATAAAAAACGATAACAAATTAAGAATATTACTAACTCGAGTTTTACTTGAAATTCGATGAGCTTCTGATTTATAATCGTCCTCGAATTCATTTACTTAACAAAAAGTAAAATAATTAATAGTGAGAATAATAATAACAGTAGCAATGATAATAATAATGAGGAAAGTACTTATCAGTGTATCTTTAATATAACATCAATGAAAGTATACTAATCAAAATTGAGAGATCATTGATTGATTGTATGACAATGACAGCATACAATAATCTGTAATATATTTTACCAAATACAAGACTACATTTTCGGTTTTGAGAAACACTGTTTTTTTTTAAGGCATTTCAAATTGAAGTAGAAGTGAGATATAAACCTGGATAGTTGAACCCCTTACCACTATACCACCGTCTCATATATTCTCATGAAATATTATCCTATATCATTCTTGAGCTATTTGAGTAATAATTGGTAAACATATTATTTATGAAAATCGTATCTAATTATGTTTGAAGATAAATTTATGTCACGAAATGAAATCAACCTCAGAATCAACATGAAAGGCTTAAATAAAACATTAACACTTCAGGCTTTTGATCGATGAAGTATTAGTTACTCAATTTCAGATTTTCATTTATACGCGATTCAATAAATAATAAGGATTTTTCAACCAGTATTATTGAATAATGATGTAAACTTGCAACGGAATACACTATCTTAATACCACAAACATGTTGACAAAATATTCCATTATCTCAACAAAACTATTTATCAGTTAGTTTACCAAACAGATAAGTTACATTATTAAAAGTTTTTCTAAGTATCGTTTCTTTAATAAGTGTAAAGTGAGAATAAATTACACTAATTATAAGAACAAAAATCAGAATAATAACAGTACCCTTTGATAAAAGAAACAGTTACATAATATGAACATAATATGAATATAACCACTAACATATCATAGAAAGTTTATTTGATGTGGAAAAATAGGAAAAAAAATTTATAAACTAACAATGATTGAAAGAAAGACATGAAAAGTACACAGCAATAAGAGAAAGTCAATGGATTTCACCGAAGAAGTAACGAGAAAAGTCAACTTACATGACATTAAGGCAGAAATCCTATCTTGTTCCCCAAAAAGACGACGCTTTTTACTCGTAGTACCCTATAAAGTAACATTTTTTCCAATATTTGAAATGATTATTTTTATAAACAGTAAAAAAAATTATTTGAGAAAAAAGGGACACGTTTTCTGTTATATGACATAGCTAATTCGTAAAGCATACATATAATGGTAAAAATGAGCGCTTCCACTAAAATGTAAAAACTACAAAGAAATATGACTAACATCCTAGTAATTTTACATATTCGAATAATTAATGATATGATATACATACATTTCAATTATTTCAGTAGAATGATGATGGGAAAAAGTGCTCGAATACGTTTATTTCAACAGTTTGTCAATAAGCAGAATAACTACACATCATCACAACCCATAATTTCGTTTATTGAACAAGAACAAATTTCTGCACTTGCTATTAGGATGAAACGGCAGGTTTAGTGGTTAAGTTGTTTGACTTTTTAACAATTCACCTACTTCGTTTGTAACAACTGGCAAGTACTATCAGCAGTCTTATGTAGAAAGTGACCCAAAGTAAAATGTCAAGTGAACAAATTAAGTAAAAACTTAACTTTTTTAAATAAAAAACAATAATAATTCACCTTTACAGAGCACAGTTGTTGTACAGCCGATATAGATTGTGGAAAGGTACTGGATAAAGCAGTAACATTTATAGGAAGAGAAGGAAGATTAAAATTTACCGTCTTATTTTCAGAAAACGATGGACCTGAAGTAAAAGTCAATAATAAACATAATTTCATACATAACAATCGACCAAAAACAAAACCATAAAACTGATAGAGCATAACAGGATGAATTCATTTCAAAGTGTTTCTCATCCGCTGGTTAAAACCTAAAATATTAAAATCACTATTATTGCAAAGTTTACATAGTAATACTGTAAAATTGGATATATATTATCATGTGAGGTAGTGAGACTGATGACATATAATGAGTGGTGCAAATTAATCTAATATATATGAGAGATTCTGGATCATCAGATATAGTAACAAGACACCATAGAGATAAATAATGAATTGATTGTATGGTAAAGTAATTGAATAGAGAAAGGGAATAAAATCAGTAAAGATTTCTA